TACATATTTAACGTTACATCTTCAGTGAAAATCTTTCTGAAGTCATCTTTCTGAAGATCAGTAATATCATTTTGTGACTTAATATACAATGTTATACATTACGATCAAAAACAAATATTAGAGTTTATTATTAAAATTCTTAGTCGAAAGATTTTATGCAAAAGCATTCATTGAGTCATGTATAAAGGTTCCGTCATAATTGACAAAAATAATTTTCTTCCTATCGGAAGCATTTAAAATTTAAATAATTATATCCGAGTTTTTGTAACTAAAAATTATTTTCTTGCTTATTTAATTTTTTTCCATAAAATGATTTTATTGATTACCTGTCACCGGTAGTGAAAGAAAAATAATTGTTTAATATACTATCAAACTATGTAAAACTTTATTATACGTTGTCGTTTATTTTAAAATTTAATTAATTGTACAGGTATGTTTATCTTGAGATGCTTTTCCGTTTATTTTGCAAATAATAACTGAGAGAAAGCAAAATTCTGTAGCGACCTTTCGCAAAAGCTTACTGAATACACAGTTCAAACGTCAAATTTGTGAAATTCCAAAATTTCGCAAACATTGCACAGTGCTTGGTACAGGTACTGTATATACTTGGTATAGGATACTCATATTTTTGTGCAATAATACTTACCAATTATCTATTTTTATTTTAGAAGGATTTTGATGATTGATCATTTATCGTAGAGCGATCCACCTATCTACTCGCTAGTCAACGTTTGTTCCAAAGCTGGTTCTTCAATGATATAAATTTTTAAGTCTTATTCATGAATGAATAATGAATACACTAATTTATGAATGACAATATTTTATTATAATAATAATGTTAATAATTATTAATTCTGAATTTGTAAATGAATATAAATAATTTACTGAGGTTTTTTACTATATATTAGTAGATGTGACTGAAATGCAGTGTATTAAAATGCAGAATAACAATATCCAAATAAATAAGCTTATAAAGATGTAGAGAAAAAAAGTTTATTTGTGTAGCCTGTGTAATATCAATGTGCTTGCAAGTGCGCCTTTCGTCCTTTACATTGCAAAGGAAACATATTACGAGCTACAAAACGAGCTTTATTAATAGAAGGATATCTCTGACAATTGTACCGAATTTTTAAACCACATTTTAAAATACAATAATGCTATTATTCGAATACGTTATTACATATTTATGATTTTCAATAGCAATAATAAATTCTTGGCTGTGTAAGGCGAGACAGTGGAAGAGAGAATAAAATCACTAAATGATAATATTTTTTCCCGCGTTGAGTGGGCGATGAAGAGGATGACTGCATGGAGATTTTGTGGTTTTCATGATGCTTAACGTGAATATGAGATAGTTTCCATAGAAAAGTTCACTGTAAAAACAACTTTCTTAAGGTAGATTACAAAAAATGAAAAAAGCGAGCAAAGTATAGCAGTCATGAAAAATTGCAAAGAAAACAGTATCAATTGCTCATAGACTGGGGCGCAGTCTCTAAATAAGTAGTTTTTCAGTATGTGTCACTTTCTAACAAATCACCTCGCATTACTACATTATTAGACTTTTATTTACTTTTATTTACTTTTATTTTATTACTTTTATCTTTTTAATTATGCTTTACTTTTGTTCTTTTAATATCGATATGGAGGTAAACAATACTGAATGCAAATTTTCGAAGAGAATATGTTTGGTATTGTATATAAATGTGGAATAACGCAGTGCATGTGCATGAAAAATATGTGTGAACTAGTAACTAAATGACTCAAGGAAATTGTGACTTTTCGATTGTTTCGAGAAATTAAGTAATTTTGATACATAAACAAGATTCAACTAGTTAGCATAATTCATTTTGGTATTTGGAGCCTTTTCTGCTGTATTATTTGAATTATTTCCGTCTCGAAGAATTTAGTGTTCCAAAACACTGAATTTTGTAAGCATGCTTTTAGATTTCGCTAATTTCATCACTTATAGAGGGTTTGCGTAGCAGCTACGGTCTAAATCACTAGTTTAAGAAACTTTCAGGTTATATGCCTTCCAGTACAGGAGATGGACGTTATTAATAGGAATAGGCATGGTCTGAAACACAGCGTAAACAAATTCTTCATTATTTTCTGTCTGTTTATAAAACGCCTCCTGCAGCAGATCTTGTAAAATTACCGCATTCTCACATTTTCATTGCTTCCAAAGCTTTAAGAGAAGTATATCTAGTCTTCTAACTAAATCACTTATGAAAGAATTTATGATTAATAACTATCGAAGGTTTTCGAGGCCAGATTCATTTACAAAGGAAGGGCTTGCGGAGATGATGTGTTGCACAAGTCTAGGTGCCAGAGGACGCTAGAAGTATTGTAAATTGCCCCGAAGATGATGAACACATCCCTGTAGTTTGAAGTAAACTGGGCATTTTTTTACTACTTTAAATTTTCATGCTTTGGAAAATGAGTAAATTTTCACGAGTTCATTAGTTCAATTTTTCATGAGTAAATTTTAATGCTTTGTTATGATATGACATCCCATTTGCCGATTACCTCTATCTGAGGCGTATGTACTTCAACAATCTACATCACAGAAGGTGCGATCGGCACCAAGTGTGTTAAATTGTCTTGGCTATAGCAGAAACTGCAAGTCTTATTGAAAGCTATAGCTAATGTTAAACTTCGTAACTGCAATGCATATATGAGCTTTTGCACATATTCTGTTATACAAGTATTGAATTACAAAATTAATTTCATAGTTTGACAGTTAATGCCACATAAAAATTAATTGATTTTGCTTTATCTTAATTTATAGTTGCTAATTTTGAGTCTTTACTGCTGCTGAGTTAATCAATTAGTACGCTCATCCATGGAAGAGTGGGTAACCTTGGATTAAGACTAGTGAACCACGCATTGAACATTTATGAACGCGTACAGTAGACGTATAGTACACCACGTGAAATAACACACATGAATAACACGTGAACTAACACAATGCATAGTACACCAATCGAACCACGGACCTCTGGAATACACGCCCAGCATGCAGACCACTACACCACGTAGGCGTGCTAAAAAGGCGGGAGAATTACCTTATAAATATACTAACATTAAGATTAATTATTAATTTACCCTTTCAGTAAAAGGAACAAATGAGAGGCATAAATGCCCCAAATATTAGCAAGGCTGAAATATATTATTACAGGGAATTATTTAAAATAATATAAAACGTTGCGTATATGGAAAGCATAAAATTAAAAAAAAATTAATTAAAAGCGTGCATATAACAGATATATTTTTATTTCCAGTATTTACAATAGAAAATTATTGTTTCTAAAGATGGCAGTTAACCATAATAATTTAACCATATAAACATTTTTCTCAAAGTTTAAAAGGGAAGAGAATGATTTGATGATTCATTTAATAAAAGTGTTACAAAACAAAAAACGCATTATTTTTACTTGAAAAATATTATACCTCAGCTTGATGCTTTTGGAGACAAACGTTGTCGAATGAAACACTTTGAAATTGATGCTGGTAATACAAAAGTAAAATACATACCTTGCTCGTTGATAAATTCTTTGAAGGGCTTCCAATCGTATTTCATTACTTATTTGAATTTGAGATCGCTCTACATTATTGATATTAACAGTTCTTTTTAATGCATGATATTTACTTTGTAAATCTTATATTTTATTTACGTATGTTGCCGTTCAAGAACCATTAATCACAATAATAAAATCTTAATTAGTTGATCCTCAATTCTGCTTAAATTGATGCATACTGTGCACAGCATAGAAGTTTTTATTACTAGTAAAGTTAAGCTTTTATTTTCCAAGCTTATATTGAAATAACAGCGTTCATTGCTCGTTAAACTGGATGTCAGTATAAATAATTGCATTTCTTGATTTATTTTCGAATCTTGAGTTCCAGTGTCTAATGCATATTAACTCTTTAGCTTTATTACTGAAGCTAAAAGTGCTTTCTCTCTGGCGAACAACTAATTGAAAAGCATATTTTACTATAAAATTTATTGTTTGCTTGTATGTGACAGAAATGGTTTTCCTTTATTATCTTTAAAAGACTTAAATAAATATGCTTGACTAGTATCTGGAGTTATCATAAAGTGATTTTTATACGGAAACGACAGTGAGAATGTAAACTAGCTTGTAGTTGCAATCTATAAAATCATATATATAAAGTATTATGGCGTACATTTTCCTACCTTTTTTTTTTTTTTGCTGCAGTGATGTTAAAGGGTTTGTTAAAAGATTCTGTTAACGAAGAGGAAAAGTCTTTCAACTCTGCATATGAAATAAAAGGGGACTTATAAATGCGCAGCTCAGTACCGATGTTCGTTTATATTCTCAGAAACATTGGTCGATTTCAGATGTGGTTTTCTTAGAGACATGGTCACCACGAGAAGTTTCACTGTATAATGAGGTTTATGCTATTATTTTTTTCTGAAGGTATACAAGACATTTAAAAAAGAGTGCATTTTTCAAATAAAATAATCGTGTCTAAAGCTGAAGTCTGAAAATATATTTCATGATACATTATGCATATGATTAGTACCTTATAATTTGCAGTATGGGTTTAGGACTGGAGCAGAACACGTTTAACATTTTAACATCAGGACATCGTCATCATCGTTTAACGTCAGGACTGAACTACATATTAGGCAGAAGCTAGTTAGCGGAAACGCCGTAAAGAAATTAAATGTCGCAGCAACAATTTAAATTTTTTCATAAACACTTAATCCGTATTAGAACAATGAAGATATTTCTCACATGGCCTAGATTTAAAAAAATTTCATACACTTTGAAACTCTTAGAAACGGCATGAGCATTACCTGAGTACGATGGTTACATTGGTACATTACGATGAGTACATGGGTTTCGATTTTGGACTAATTATCACTTTATAATAACACCTGTGCAAACTTTAAATGAATAAAAGAAATTTATGAGTCCTTGTTCAAAATTCATTCAAAGATGCAATTATCAACCATACAACCACCCACCCACCTTGAGACTTAAGCCCACCTGTTGCTGCTGTTGGTTGTTGGGATCACCAGCCTCCTTTCCCCACGAACATTTCACCGTCTGACCATTCACTTCTGTATTGTGAGTAGCTACGATGGCGTGTGTGGCTGCCTCTTTGGTTGCAAATCTGAAATATATAATAAAGAAGTTGGTATTTATATAGAGGAATGATAAGATTATAAGTATGATTATAAAGGTAAAAATGCAATTACACGTATGAGGAAACATGATAATAAGGCTCTGTCGTTTCCTGGTATGTCTTCCTTAATCTTTGTTTAAAATTCACTATTTGCATAGTTCAATAAAATGCACTATTTGCATATTTACATGCAGTTCTTTATATACCAATTAAAGATAAAATAAAGTAAATGATGGTTTGAGAAATTTAAGTTTAATACACAACATTAAGAGTGAAGCAACTTTTGATTAAGATATTTAGAAAGAGGGTTGATAGTAACGACTTAATTAACAAATGTTACTCCTCCTTTTACAGCTCTTTCGTGCTTACTTATTCCAGTTGTTTTTAGTACGAGTAAAATTATTATATTAAAAAAAATTCGGTTAGTTGCCCTATGAATGAAACTCGCATGAAAGCAATTAATTTAAATTTAAAATGGAAACTGCAGAAATAACTGCTTATGAAATTTATTTACAGTAACAAGTAATAAAGGTGTAGTAAGTTTCTTGTTTAAATTGCATGGGCATGTCATTTAAGGCTGCTTTAAGCCCAAACTATTGATTTAAAGGTAAATTCATGAGCTATCCGAAACGTTTACAAAAATTAGAAAAGTTTAAAAAAATTACGGTTAACGCTGGACTAAAGACTTATCTGTTTTGCTGTTATTTGAGCTGAAATCAGATACAGTACTGCAGTTAGCACGAACGCTAAAAAAGTAGGTAACTTCGCACATTTCCGAAATTAGGATACATATTACATATTATGAAATGTTGAATAAAGAAGGACAATAATGTTTTTGCTGGAGCTGTGTCGCAGTTCCTAAACTAGTATTACATATTTTGAAAGCCCCATAACATCGACAGACAATGACACGATTTCGTAATTTCCGTGCAAATGACGTTGTTAAAATACATTTACTTCTCATCGTGCATTTGACTGAATTGATAGAAATATATATGAAAATTCTTAAAAATATTTGATTAGCATACGCTGCTTCTGTGTACATTTCGATAGTTTAATGATTTTTCAGAAGGAAAAGGGTCAAGAGATAATAAAAGAAATACGTTGTATCCACACTAATTTCATGAGAATAGAATAATTACAGCATAGTGTACTATTTCTCTGTTTCGGTAAATTTATAGAAACATAGTCTAAGGAAACGTCTGAAACTGAATACTTCATTTTGGCGCCTCTGTCAGAGTAATGCGCGAACTCACGTTGTTTTATAATATCTGACCAATATTATTATACACTAACTGAGCCAAAATTAATATTGAATGCAATCCTCATCCATCATGTAGCCAAGATACGGCTCTGCGGGACATTTAAAATTACTTCGATATTAAGTCTTATCTACCAAGAAGATTCAGAATACAACTAACTCTTCAATGCGTATGAAATACCCGGGGCGGACTTATAGGACATCATCAAAAACTGCTTGCACACGTGTTTGTCGACTGGAAGAAACGAAGTATATTACAGTTAGTGGTGATTACTTTAAAAACATATTGCAGTCATTGTATCCAGAAAAAAGAGTCATTGGTGAAGGGAGAGAAAAATTGGTCTCACCCTTTTTAAACGTTCTGTTCAGATTCTTATGAAGTGTCTGTGTCCTACCAAGTTTGAATGCTAGTGAGTATCATTATTATCAACAGGGAAAGAAGCGTAGGAAAAATTCCGAAATAAAAAAAAATGATAGCACATTTTGCATTAAAATATAAATTTTGACATATTTTATCATTGCAGATTAACTTGAAAATTCTAATTATTAAGAACGATCCCTATCTTTTATTTAAATATAAGAACTGCATACCTCTCACATTGAAAAGCGTGATTTTACATTTTGCTAAAATACTCATTGTATGCAAAGCTTTCAATAAGTTTTCTGTTTCTTGTATATAAGTTTTTGAAATAAAAAAAGAAATTTAAAACTTTTAGGCAATATTAAAATTTTTATAGCTGAATAATTAATTACACTTGAAATATAAAACTATTTTGCGTTGTTAAGACTTAAAGCATTAATGGGCTTACCTTTGAACAGATTCGGTAACATCGCATGTAGAGTTACTATGGCTTATGGAAGGCAAGTCAAACTCAGTATCTCAAGAGGACCAAAGAGTCATAATTTTATATCCAACCCCTTGTCATCTTATTTTCCTGCAACTAGCACTCAGTTGTCTGGAGACAATCTGCTCACTCTAGCGATTTTCAGAGGTCAAATGAGTGCATGTTAACATGGATATCGTCGGTTATTTGTTCCCTTTCATAAAAAATTTGAGGCTTTTTGGATACTATGCAGGAAGGTATTTGTAAAATTCGGAGATACCCACTTTACTGAATCTTTGCTTTATAGTTGAACTGAGACGAACTTGTATTAACACCATACGTACATAGTTTGGCCCTTTCTCAATATCGGCTAAGAAAATATGTTTATGAAGACATCCTGTCAAGCATCTCTCTTAGCGCCTGAGCTTGTATATATAAACTAACCTTGATATGGGTTAAAATTCCAATTTGTATTAATGTACTATAATGACGTATAATTAATATAGTATAAATGTTTTCTCTCGGCGAACCGAGCGCGCGTGTTTAATATGCTAAGTTAAGATTATAATGCACTGTTATGCAAAAAATAGCAAATATTTAATTCACTATCGAGTGTTTTTGTGGTTTAGTTGCATCTAAGCGATCAATACTTTCTTTTCAGGTCATTAGATGATGGTCAAAATCAAAGTAATTGTTGTAAGACAGTCATAGTAATTATTGATTTAATAACAATACTCACTTGAGCATTTGGCTGACAAAATGTTTATATTTGCAATGTTAGGAGATTCAAATAAAAGACCAATGGAACGAACTTCCTCGTTTTCATTTCCTAGTCTGCTACTCACGCTTAGTTGATAGTAAAAGTCACAGCAAAAAGATTTGTTCCGGTATGCGATTATAATCATTATATAATATGTGGGTATGCTCAGTGTATATAAGACCTTATCTGGTGTGTACTTAATTATTTTCGCCATTTTTCTCTTTTGTGATAAATAGCTGAGAGAGTATTTCGTTACATTTTCTAGTCTGCTCGCTGTTCACACTTATTTGACTCAACTAATTGTTCTCAGTCCTCCAGCTTTATTAGTTGTTCGCAGACAACACTACTCTAATGGAAAATATTTTGTGTGAAATTGATGGATATTCTGTCAGATATGTATTTCATTTAACTCTAAAATTGGCTTTAAACATGCATTACCACCTGCTATTTTGTCAAACTGTTTTTTTTAAATGGGGAAATATTAAAAAAAATAACTGTGATACTGAAGAGAGAATTTTTGTCACTACTCAGTTTATTATAGAAGTATCTCGAAGTACTGGACACATCAAATAAGAAAACGGAGATTTAGTAATTATAAACGGAACATCTTTTATCATGACGTTTCGTAGCTGATGATGACAGTTAAATGATACACTGAGTTAACCAGACTTTCTTATAACGGTGAAAAGTGGGAAAGTTTTATCAGTTTATCCAAAATAAGTTTTACATTCTAATGTGAATGAAATTTCTTATATTTCTCCTAAAGAAACTAATAATAAATTTCAGCATTCGTTAACGTATATACTGTTACGTTTTTCTCTTCCTGACACCAGTTGTTACGTTCGTACGGGGTTCGTAGATTTGGAGTGAATAACGAAGACACTTGATGAAGTATCGAAACACACTTTATTTACCAGTATTGTCAGGACAACTACAAAACACGTTTTACAGTCGTCGATGAACTACTATAAACACGTTGACACGATCAGCGACACAGCCTTCAGGTTATCAGGCTATCACGGTGGAGACAGCTTCATGGCAAAGCACTAGAGTACAGCTCACGACTCTGTTTGGTCGTTCTCGGAACTCCACGTACTCTCGAGACTCTCCACGCTACAACTCGCGATGCACTCGACGATACACAAGAGTTTAGCTCTTGACTCAGCACAGTCTAAGACAAAACTCGGCGATGCACTAATTCGCGATGCACTTAAAGACTCTCTCGATGCACTCGACGATCAACTCGGCGGTAGACTTCGAGACACTCGCTCAATGACTGACTAACAGCTCGCTAGACGAGGTCCACACACTCGCCCTCTCGATGAAGCACACTAACTGACTGCGGACCAGCAGGGTTTATATAGCTTTGGGCTTGTGTTCGGGAACATTCTGGGCTAAACCGGTAAGAATTTGTTCCAGAAGGTTCTCCATCCGTCCATGGTATAGCGCCAATTTTGTCGCCAAATGGGCGATTTCTCGCCAAATGTGGCAACCCTGCCTTCTCTTGTCATTTTATGGCACCCTAAAACTGCTTTGCGGGGAAGCCATCTTACCGCGCCTGTACATTTCGTAACAATATTATAAAGATAATCAGTGATGTCTTTGAACTGATAACATTTACGACGTTACTGATATTCGGTGAAAGTGAATTTCACTTAATTTTATTGCTCTTTATGAATATAAAATAGTTTAGGAAGGAACAACCATCAACTCATAAAATGTTGGCTCTACGTAAATGGATAGTGCCTGGTTTGAAACGCAATGGACAGTTGGTAAATTTAACTGCTTCGCCTTTAACTAGAACTGGACGTTATTAATTGGTTCTTAAAGCTATTGATCAAACGGATTCTATTTAAGAGCAATTTCCTGGTTCAAAGGAGTAAGTTCTTAGCTTTCGAAAACTGGTGAATGATAGCGAAAATAAAATGTCGTAATGGATTCAATACAGCAAAATGTAAAACAAACACCCATAAAAGTTATAAGGAGGGGGGAAAATGCCTCAAATAAATTAACATTTGTGAAAATGTCCGAAGTAAAATAATTACATATGAGCCATTGCTGTGAGACCGTACCTAACGGTACATAAGCAGGGGGTGGCAAATGGGAATGTCCATACCAGGGGCGTAGCTAGAGGGGGGCAAGGGGGGCATCTGTCCCCGGGCGCAGAATCAAAGGGGGCGCCAAACTGATGTTACGATTTTAGAGTTAAATGTTTTCCATCCTTGGCAAACAGTAGGGGGCGCGAAATCTTCAGTTGTCCCTGGGCGCTGAAAACCCTAGCTACGACTCTGGTCCATACTGTAATTTTGATATTGAAATCCGAATGGAATGTGAATTAAAGCTTTTTTAAATCCTAGTATGCAATAGTATGAGCTATTACTGCAAGTAGTTAAGGTTTCTATCACAAGAAAATATGACTATGAATTTAAAAATTAGCAAAATGCTGAAAGAATTGAAAGTACTTAAAATAAGCACTTGTGAATACCAAATGGAAATGCACAATTATCTAAAGTCTAATAATGGTCATTTAAACGTCTCTTAATATACTTTGAGGATTACTGGGGACTTTTTTTCTGTAATTTACCCCCAAAGGGCATGGGCCATTTCAATTAAATAGTAGTCATCCTTCGTATTCTTCAGTCTCGTTATCATTCTTTCGGTTGAACTCAAAATGAACTATCGGAAAGTTGAAGCCCAAAGAGCCCATCAGATGCGGGTTAATTGTCTCCAGGAAATGTTCTCGAGTAAAAAGTGAAATCTCTGAAAGGACGAGCAAGGCTGAAGCGTTGCTGGATGGAAAGTGAGGCGCATATATAAACAGAGAAGGAGCCATGTTCAGAGGGAAAAAAAATTGAAGGGGATGAGGAGCGGAGAATAATAGAAAAACTTCATCGAGCTAAAATGGTATTAAACTTAATGACTTACCTAACAAAAGCATAGCCTTTATCTTTGAAAACCCTGATTTCTTGAATGGGACCGAATGGAGTAAATGTCTTCTGCATCAGTTCCTCTGCAAAAGAGAGAAAAGAAAGAAATATTAGATAAATTGGAGAGGTATGTTAATTGATTTTGCTGTCATTGACAACTAGGCAGTAAGAAAAAGGGCAAAAAAGTGCATTCAAAACTAAAAGTCAGGGTGAATCATACAGGAAGCAAGAAATGCAATATCATCTGAAGGAGAAACACATTTTTAAGGAAATGATTGTAGACAGAAGTTTTTGTAAAATTTATTTGGCGTCAGTTAATGAGTTTATTGTTTTCTGTCAGAGGTAAAACGAATTAAATAAGATAGGTATATTTAGACAAAAACTTTTAGAAATAACTAGAATAATCGCAAAAATATTAGCAGTTTTTACTCAAAAATAGAAGAGTACTTGAAGTTCAGATTATACCAATTTCATGTAAGGCTTTAAATGAAATAAAATGAATTTGAAGTCGTTAGATAAAATACATTTGTTTTTGTAGTTTCACTGTTTAATTTCTCTTACTTGTTTTCTATAAAGTTTGGGAATTTGGCTTTTGCAACTTCAGAATAACTACATTCTTGTTTATTTACTTTATTCACTGCAAAAATAAACGCAATTTTAACAGATCTTATTTTGTTTTATTTCTCGTCTTCTTATTTTCGAATTATATTTACAGCCGAACATAAGTAACTGTAAGGAAAATATCTTAGAAAATACTGACTCTAGTACGTACATCCCTTGTTAATTAACATTAAGGGTAAATATATAATTGCATGCCAAGTTAATCATGCTATAGCTCTCATAAACCTTTGAAAAGGGCACTTTAAAGATGCTGAACGTTTGAAGTTGGGCACCTTAAAGTTGTTACAGTTCCTCCTAAGTTAACAGATCCTTAAAGCGATGGGCGGTAGCTCCTTCGGGGACTGCGTGATGAATTCAAAAGAACTGGGAATAAATGCGGATTTTTCATCAAGTCGGGTCGTTTTAGTCATTAATTGACTTTTTTCATCTGTTTAATTGAAATGCTTAATATATCAATATGTAAATATCTACATGAGATAAGTCAATGATTAGATTCATAGTTTATTGATTTCAGACTCAATTTTGCGCCCTCTTCATCTAATATTTAATGATTCTATAATCAAATACCTGCTACGTTCACCAAAATGGGAAGATTTATACTAAAGTAAAGACTCATATTACTTCAGCCTTCTTCATAATTCACTTTAGGTGAAAAGTGAAACATGGATTGTGATGGTGGGTTTTTGAACTAATTATTACAGAGCAAAATGTTATTTTAAGGAATATTAAAAACTTTTCTAATAATAAACTTTAAATTGTAGGGAAACATAAACAGCAAATAAGCACTAACAACTTTTTGCTGCTCAATGACTGCTTGATTTCAATAATCAATTTAAGCAATTAATATTATTAGAAATTTTAAAATGGATAAACGATTAGATTCCCAAGTTGCTAGTGGATTGTTCCTAACCCTTACGAGTATTGAAATGCGGCTCTTTAGAAGAATTGTTAATCATAACTGTTTTTAGAGCAGTGGTTTTCATGTTATTTTGCGCCCCCCCCGCATATATTCACCATTGTTAGAAGATTATTTCCGGACTTCCTTTCCAAAACTCGAAAAATACATACACTTATTAGATTTAGATACTTTTTTTAACGGAACAGCGGGAAGAAGGTAGATTGATGATAACCGCATTCCTCCCCCTGAAACAATGAACTTTCACCAAGGAGGAACCCTGATTTAGAGTAAAGGGCTATAAACTGTGTTCCACGGAGGCAGGATTCCATGCAACTCCTCTAGGGATTCTGAGACTAAAAATTAAAATATGATGTAATTTTTTGATACTATGCGGACTGAGAAACTAAACTTAAAAAATTATGAATTAAATAAAGTTTTTAATTTTAATTTTATTGTTATTCAAAATAATACAAAGTAGATTAGTTTTTATGAGCAAAAATTGAAACGAAATAGTAAATTTTTTCAAGTTAAATATATTATAAAAACAGTATTGATATATTGTCAAAGCTTATAGAGTCTCGAATTCTATATATAAACTAACGAGCTTTAGAAAAACTGCAGAGGAATCATACTCAGGCTGTGACAGCAGGCAGACAGAGTCAGAAGGAGTGTGTAAATGACCCTTTATTCAATCACAAAGCGTTCACAGACGACCTCACTTCGGTTTACATAAGCCAACAATTCTGGATTAACTTAAACAAGTAATGTTGAACTTAAAATAAAATGTAATTAAACTAGACTAACGGCTCACAGGATAATTTAATCTCGCAGGAAGGCTCTGCCTCGTAGAAGCCGGCGGAACTAGCTCAATAGCTAGAGACACTCAGCACTACAATATCAAATCGCAAGTAAAAACATGGCCTACAAGCAGGCATAGCATCTTTCTAGGGAAGCGATTTTAGAGAGAGTTTTTTTAAAAAATTTGATTTTTAGATCTTTAAGTGAAGGATTAGAGAGCACTTTTTTCTCCCTTAATTTGAATATACGCGCGCTAACTCATTTGCATTCTGGCAGGAAAGCGTGGGTGAAACAGAGAATTAAAGGAAAGTTGCTTTAACTAAAAATTGACTATTAGTCAAAATAAATGAATTAACCCTCACAAGCCTTTTAAAAGCCTTATCCTGGATATGATAGAAGCTATTTATGGTAACCCTCAGTCAACAAACGTTTTTGTTTTTCCAATGGCAGATTGTGAACAATTACAAATGTAACCCAGTCCATTAATCTATACAAGGCCGGATGTGGTGGTCTCTTTTATTATGGAGGCACCTAATAGGTGGGCCACCATCGTTTTTCCTATGAAGGGAAGGACAGTTACAACCATGCCTTCTCCGGGATTCGAGCCCAGGCCCTTCGGCATCGCAAGCAGCTATTAATTATTTTAAGTTATTAGTGACTCGCCGAGTATGATATTGATATTATATGAGGCAACTCTATGGGCAGTATTTCTGGAAAACGTGAGCAGAGTTTCAGATATTTATTTAAATTTACAGTAATCGTGTTAAGAAAGAATGGCAGGACTGTTGTTTTATATCAAAAGCTTTCAGTGAAAGATTTGCTAAACTTGAACTGTAATTTTCTTTCTATAAATTATTTTAATTATATAGAAGTAAAACTTTAAGAGTTTTAAAAAATTAAGAATAAGTCGTAAGCTTTTTGGAATTGCAAATATATAAGTAATCTCTGAACAGAATTCTTTCTTATGCACTTTGTGGTATTAAATTTGAACGTGAAACTGTGAACAAATCTTTTTTTTCTTTCGTTCTTTCATTTCAGACAAAATTAGAAAATTTTCAGTCAAGAAATTTCTTTTCAGCTGCGCTCAGTCATCCTTGAAATCGTTTAATATTTTAGACTCAGCGTGCCGTTAATGGCGTCGCCACAGTATCTCTCTGTATAGCTTCAATAAATATCTGAAATCCCTCTGATGTTTTCAGAAAGCATTGCCCATGCAGTTGGCTCACGTAATTGAAATGGTATATTTAAATTACAAGGGAGAGAAAATGTATTCTAGAAAGTTGGCAAGAAATCCAAAAGAATAAATTAATCTGATTTTTTTTTCTGCTCAAGTAATGGGCCTTTCTCTTATCCGGAGATTATTTCCTTGGAGTCAAGGCGCAAACGATTTATTCGTTCAGTGCATTGCAATTGTGAATTCTGCCATTTAAAAATTCTTTTGTTAATTATTTCTGGCAACGCAGCATTTAAACTATCATTGTACTCAGTGAAGGAGAATTTTAACGTTTTCTTTTATGTTATGGAAATTATTTTCATCCGATTACTGTAAAGATTTTAAGAAATTTGCAAAAACAGTATTTCGTAAAACAAATGTTTTCACATTTTTATTGTTTATACTATTGTTCGTCTGAAATTTAAACTGAAAAAAAATTACTAAACATAAATTCGTAACAGTTTATCTAGATGCACAGGAGGATTGCTATAAAATTTATTCTCAGCATCCCATGTAATTAGCTCTCTTTTTCTGTGCTGTCGATAATAGAGGCACAGAGTACTAAGCAGAAAACCTATAAACATTTCATTCAATTAAGCTTTCTATTTGCTTTTAGCAAGATAAAGCATTAAAAAGTGTTCACGGCGTTTTATTTGTTTAAAGACATAATATATACGTATTTTAATATCAATAAATATATTTGAAATAACGTATACAATATTTACTTAAATGAGGTTGATTGCTTCCCCAACAACTAATTAATTAAGTACAAAAGTATTCTGGATTCGTGTTTTAATTAATAGCGTTATAAGGTATTTCTCCCGCCTTCTTAGCGTGCCTTCGTGGTGCCTTCTTGGTTCTGCACGCTGGGCCGGTATTCCAGAGGTCCGTGGTTCGATTCCCGGCGAAGGCGTTGCTAATTTTTCATTTCTCCAGCTTCCAAAAAAAAAAAAAAAAATCCTAATGTCTCTACAGTGTCGCCCGATCTAAAAGGGTGTTAGATGATGAGTCTCCACACCCAGTATTTTGCGATTGGGCCCCTAAAAACCCCAGTCGCCCTTTAAAAGGGCGAGTATATAAGGTATTTCTCCCGCCTTCTTAGTGTGCCTTCGTGGTGTAGTGGTTCTGCACGCTGGGCCGGTATTCCAGTGGTCCGTGGTTCGATTCTCGGCGAAGGCGTTGCTAATTTTTCATTTCTCCTGCTTCCAAAAAAAAAAAAAATCCTAATGTCTCTACAGTGTATTTTTGAGGTTTTCATTAGTGTCCAGTATTTTAATTCTCTTATATATATATATTATCTAATAACCATTCCTGTAGCTTCAAATCAAGTTTAATAGACATTCTTAATAACTGATATTTAACAAACTGTAATTTATAGCTACTTGTAATTATTTTTAGTGAAAGATCAAGATTTTTCATACATTATAGTTGTATGAGAAACAACTATGGCGAGTTTTTCGTTTGCGTTGTACTTAGACATGGCTTTTCAGTTTCTATTTTTAGTCAATTTAATTTTTCAAAACATTCACTATTTCAGATCCACAATAAATAAG